TCCAAACTCATTGGAGAATAAAAACACTTTCTTTCTTCAGTTGCCTATCTTTTTTTTCTCTTTTCTTTATTCAGAGAGAGAGAGAGAAGCAGCAGTTGAAGTTAAAGAAAGAAGAGAGAGAAAAATGACAAAAAAAGCTTTCTATCAATCAATTATACACAAAAGCTGCAGAAATCATGTTACCTTCCCTTTGAGTTAAAATTCTTGGTTTGCTTTCTGAGGCTGCTCTTAGCATACCCCTCTATTTATATATATAACCAGAATAATAATAATACTAATGAGTAAGTTACCAAATCTCTCAAACTCTCTCAATAATATCTAGGTTTATCACTTATTTTTAATACATGTAGGAATTTCTGGGTTTTTTTTGTGTGTAAAATTTTAGACATGGTTTTTAGGTGACTGTGAATGAAATATGAAGTGGGGTTTTTGTATTATGCAGAAATGGGAAATGTGAGTGGGAAAAAAGAAGAAGGTGAGACATCAGGATTAATCAAGAATCAAGAAGATGAAGAGGAGGAATATATGGAGTATGCTCATGGTCATGGCCAGTTTTCAGATTCTATGGTTCAGTCCCCACCTCATAGCCCTAAAGCTTATCAGTCTCCTTTGATTTTCACTCCACAGGTGAGGCTCAAAAAACAAGTCACTAGTATATTTTTAATGTTGGCATTATTAAGATACAATTTTTTGTTTCCTTTGACCATTTGTTATGGTGTATATTATATATTGGTAATGTTTAGATAGATAGAAAAAAATCACCTAGTGTTGTTTACCTCCTTTGTAAAATTCTACTTCATTGACCACTTGGCCACACCTTTGCGTGTCTGTTTCAAGAAACTCAAGTCTTCTAAAGAATGTTTTATTTCCAGCCACAGTGAGCTAAAATTAGAACCTAAAAGATGAGTGTCTCTTTAGAATCTTTTACTATTTTTTTTATATGATACTCAATCTTACATAAATATAGGGTAAGATACGTACAATAAACTCTTATGGTTCGGTCCTTTCTCGAACCCCGTGTCTGGCGGGAACTTAGTGCACCGGGCTGCACCTTTAATTAAAAGCATTTGCGGATCTACATACACACTTATGGGTGCTTAAGCACCCATTACTTTTGATCATATTTAGTAATTTACATAGGTAAATATGCAAATATTTAGATAAATATTGAGTGAGCACCTACAACAAAACTTTTTTTTCCTCTTCTTTTGAAATTTTAATCGGCGAGCACCCATGACTTTAAAATCCTGGATCCGCCACTGATTAAAAGGGAATGCTTAATTAAATTGTTAAAGCTCTTCTTGAACTATAATTGTGTGTGAAGTATGTATATGGTAGCTGGTTTTTTTGCCTGAAATGGAAGAAGCTGTACATTTACTTTGGGGTTGGGAGACTTAAGAGGTATAATATTCCTGCCTGTTGTACAAACTTTGTGGGGTTAATATGTTGTGTTTGGTACGTTAAAGGACACACAAGAAGATCATTTGGCCATTTGTTAGTCACAAAAAAATTGAGGGGACCAACTAACACATTAAATGTGTTGCCTAAATCTATGCCCTTTATTTACAGCTCACTTATTTAAGTTCTTTCCGTGGAATTTTGGTAGTTTCCACTCTTGTATATTCTTATAATTTGATTTCTGTTAGTATTATTTATTGTTGCTTTCGCTTCGGTTTTCTGTTTGGTTTACTGGTGTTGTTGCTTACTGTTACTCCTTCCTCTCTATCTTCTTGAGCCGAAGGTCTCTCGTAAACAGCCTATCTACCTTCTTAAGGTAAGGGTAAGGTTTGCGTATACTTTATTTTTCCCAGACCCTACTGGGATTACACTGAGTTTGTTTTTGTTGTTGTTATAGTGGAATTTTGGTAGAATTCAGGCACTGAAACTTCAATTTGAAAACTGATACTTCACTGTTCTACAAAGTAAAAGATTTTCAGTAAGATTTCAACTTTGAAGGGGAGTCTTGGTAAAGTTGTTACCATGTGACCAGGATGTCACGGGTTCGAGCCGTGGAAACAGCCTCTTGCAGAAATGCAGGGTAAGGCTGCGTACAATAGACCCATATGGTCCGGTCCTTCCCCAGACCCTGCGCATAGCGGGAGCTTAGTGCACCGGAAGTCCGGACTGCCCTTTATTCCAACTATTTATCTTTGTAGAAACTTCATTCTGCAGGTTCCAATTTTCCCTTTACAAAGGCCTGATGAAATGTCGATGCAAAATCAAAGTGGAAACTTAGTGCAAAAGACAATGGAGTATGGAGAAATGCTTTGTGAAGATAGGATACCAACAATGATCACATGGAGTTATGGGGGAGTTGAAGTTGCTATTGAGGGATCATGGGATGGTTGGAAGACAAGGTATGTTCATTGATTCTTGTTTCTTTTGTTGCATTTTCAGTCCCTTGAAAAACTTGAGATTGTTAACAAAGTGATTTAATTTAACCATTTTTGCAATAGAGATATCCTACAAAGAACAGACAAGGACTTCAGTGTCATGAAGGCGTTGCCGTCAGGCGTGTATCATTACCGGTTTGTTGTTGATGGACAATGGAGATATGCTCCTGATTTGCCATTTGAACGCGATGATATGGGAAATGTGTTCAACGTCTTGGACTTGCAGGTCCATTCTGATTTTAACTCAACACTGGTTTATCAGTGATCCATTTGATCTACTTGGTAGTAAAGCTATCTAGCCGAGGGTCTATCGGAAATAGCCTCTCTGCCCTTCCAAGATAGGGGCAAGGCTACGTACATCTTACCCTCTCCAGACCCACTCGTGGGAATTGACTGGGTTGTTGTTGTTGGTAGTAAAGCTATCATACATTGCATGTGTGGATATGACTGGTGAGGCAGGTTAGTTGTGAAAGCATAAATTCTTATATGTTAAAATATTTAAGGGAAAAAAATAGTAAACTATTTCATGTCAGGCCAGTGAGAAGATTGAAATACTGGGATAATGTCTGAAAATAAAACCAGTAGATGAAGATAAGGTTGCAGTTCTGCTTCCTGAAAATAAAAATACTATTTCCTCTGTGTCACTGCTATTAATGTTGCCTTGTGTTCTTTGTATAAACAAGTTTCTTGATAGCTACTATGTCTTAAAAGTGCATAGTTCTTGACAAATTCAGCATAAGTAAAATGCAGCTCGGTACACTAAGCTATCGCTATGCGCCGGGTCTGAGGAAGGGCTGGACCACAAGGGTCTATTGTACGTAGTCTTACCCTGCATTTCTGCAAGAGGCTGTTTCCACGGCTCGAACTCGTTACCTGCTGGTCACATGGCAACAACTTTATCCGTTAAGCATAAGTATTCTTGTTAAATACTGTGGCCTCATGCAGCCAATTCTCGACTTTGCAACAGAAGAATAGATAATATGTAGCCTATTAAAAGTATATTGATGATCTCTAGCTATTGCTCTACCATTATCATTTTCCTATAATATAATTAAACACAATGATTCTACTTACAACTAATGTGATATGCAGGATAGTGTTCCAGAGGTTCCTAATAACACCAGTTGTTCAGAAGCACCTCTTTCCCCTGAATCAAGCTACAACAGTATCCCTTTCAGTTCAGAAGATTTTAACGAAAAACTACCCGATTTGCCTCCTCTGCTACAACAGACACCTCTCGACCTACCATCTTCATCTCAGAGTAGTATGGAGACAATGCAGAAGCCATTACCAGCAGTTTTGAACCATCTTTACATACAGAAAACGCGCAGCAGTCAATCAATGGTAGTACTAAGTTCAACACATAGATTTCGCACTAAATTTGTGACAGCAGTACTTTATAAGTCCTTGAAAAACTTTAAAAAGTGAAATGCTTTCAAAAAGAAGGAAACTACCAATTGGTTTATATCGAATAGGAAAAAGTGTCTATGTAAGGAAAAGTAGCGAAGGTCTACTACATTTTGGAAGTGTTTTCTTTTTTTCTTTTGACACTCATTTTCAGAAGTAAGCATCTGAATCTTATCAAAGTTTTGCAGATATTTTTGTTACTGCAAATTGTATCTTGATGTGATATTTACTGATATGTTGCTTCTGTGTATCTGTATGACAACTATGGCCGCACTCGATTTATGAAAAAGGTTGCATCTTTACCAAATTTGCCTGTGTATTAAAATTTCCACTAAACATCTTGTTTACAAAATTTGCCTCTGTATTAAAATTTCCAGTAAACATCTTATTTGTATTATGATTTGATTTACAAGTGCTGCTTTCTGTTTCCACTGGAAAGGATGAAGTCATAACTTCTTACATCTGTTATTCAAATATTGCTATTTTGGTATAATCAAGAAGTTTTAGACTAATCATTTGCATATAGACTGTCAACATTCAAGGCTCTTCTGTTTTCCACTGCTAAAGAACAACAGAGTATTTACATAGATTCTGATTTTATCTCCTCATTATGATGACATTCTCCATAATGGTCTTATCAAAATCTCGCGGGACTAAATCAAGGCTTTACTAGTCTCCCGCTTGAACCAACTGTTTACCCTTGACATTCTTAATATTAAGATAAGACAACAATGATAAAGGACAAAGAATATTAAAGGTACGAATGTATCATTCGGTTATCAAATGTGAATGAAGTTGATAGAACAGCACGTTCATACGACAGTGATATCGAGGCCTAAAACCTAAATATATTAAAAGAAAAATCCATATAATAGTAAGACACAAAAAAAGCCTACATGGCTTTGATCTAGCGATGAGCACACACGTCATGTTATTGAACTCTCCCTTATATAAAAATATGGTACTAAATGAAAATGTAAAGGGTGAACGGATTATTCGTTAAGTTTTGTACCTTTCGACACTTGCTTGGGGATTTCTTAGTTAAAAAAGATAGACAAAACAAGACTAGGTTTTTTATGTATGGATCAATTAAATGTGACAAAAAGAGCATTTAATTTAGAAAATCTGAGTTGAAAGTAGAAAGTAAAATTTTGAGATATATTATTTAATTTAATAGAATTTTGTATTAATAATTATGTAAATATAATATTTGGGGCCTAAGGAAAGGGCTTCACCTGCCATACCCTAGGGCGGCCCTTGATCACTAGCTGCGACGAGGACGGACGATTGCTGTTCTTCTGCCACCTACTAATCGCCGCGACGGAAGGTGTGGAATGATTGGCTTCTCACTTCTATAAACGGTAAACAGACGAATTGCCGGCTAGGTTCTTTTTCAGTTCTTTCGTTTTCTTTTCCAGCTAGATATTTCGAATTTCTCTTTTCCGAGAACAAAATTATGAAAAGTTATTGAGATGATCATTTGAAATAGGGGGGAGATTGGGGGTGATTTTCCAGTTAAGCAGTGAAGGAGTGATGAACCACAAAAAAAGTAGAAGTGATTAGGTAAATGGAATATGCAATTATAGATTTTAAGCATCTGTATCGAGAAATTGGAAATTTGTAAGTGAAAAACACAATAATTAGGATACACACTTTAAGAAAATATATCTCTTTCTGTTAGTTCACCCACATGAGGGCCTAATTTGGTGACCTGCAGTCCTAGCATTTCTCAGGGAACAGTGGAAGCAGTCTTTTTACAAGAATGCAAGGGGAAGACTGTGTAGATTATTCGCGCACTCTTCCCCTTTCACGCCCTAGCTGGGGAGCCTTTCGTGCATGAGATATATCTTTTTAGTTTAACCACTAGTTGCTTATTGGCATATTTAGTTGAGATATCATCAAAACCGATAAATTGTACAACAAAGGAGCATGAAAGAGCGCCTATGATAGTTTAGAAGAGAAATAAATTTTCCTGCTTCACTGATGAATAAGATGTGTGCTAGCATTTGGTTTATGGAATTTGTCTGTGTTACATGCAAAAACGATATCTCTAATATGAAGCATGAGAGATCCTAAAGCTAGGCATTTGTGTCTTGTCTTAATGAGACAAGTGGAGAGCATCTCCCGATGCAGTAGCGTAGCCAGGAATCTCGCCAAGGGTGTCCTTTAATGAAGTACAATCAATAATATTTTTTTGATGAGTGGGTGCACCGATAAAACTACGCAACATTTAGCTGAACAATAATTTTTTTACTAGCTAGTAGCGCACTTATTAGAGGAAGTTTTCTCTTCTATTTTCCCCATTGCTTATGGAAGGTTCCTCTGATTGTCTTCTAATTATTTTGACTGCAGAGAGTAACCGAAATACCCTGTGAACTGCACTGAACCGGGTTTCCTAGATCCTGTTTTATTTCTCCACATCTAGCTCGATCTCTGTTGTTAATTCACTCAATTTTAGCACCTGTCTCGACAGCTCCACTCAGAATACTATGGATTCACAAAGCCAGAATACTTCATTGCAGCGGCTGCAAAATGTTGAGAAGGTAAATGTTTTAGAGAACTAATGACTTAAAATTGGCTGATTTCAGTAACCACTACATTTGTATCTTTGTCTTCAAAATACTTCGAGTTCTAATTTCAGTAACTGCTACATTATTGACATATACCAGCTGATTTTGTATCTTTCTCTGATGTTTGTAGAGGATAGTTAGAGTTCTGGAGCTAGCAGGAGGTGTAATGGATGAAATGGCAAATCCAAGTGGTCCCAGGAAGGAGCTTATTAATAACCATTGCAGTGAGTTTATGCAATTAATCAAGGTTTGGACATTCTTTACTACTTTGCACCTGGATGTTTTAGAACCTTTATATCTGGTAACAGCACCTTGTTATGTGTAATAAGAAGCAGTCAAGCTTTCATGCTGTTACTCCCGAAGTTTGAATGTATGAGTCTGATAATTCTCTTGTTTGCTTACTGTTTGTTGTCCTTTTTGAATTGCATTTATTTGCCATTTGGTATTGAATGCGAAATTTTTTACGAGGTAAAAATGGAAACTTATTGTTCATAACTTCTACATCGGGAACTAGTTTGCTGTTGTCATGGGCAATTATCATTATTTTTGTCTGGAACAACTGAGTCTGTTCTTGAGTTCTGATTGAACTAAGATCAGTTTGAGAACTAAATGGATGATATTTTACCAATTACAACAGGACATCCAGGTCACACTCCGAGAAGAAATCAAAAGTGCATGTGAATATCGTCCTTTTGAGAAGTGTGACTATGTACCAAGAATATCAAACGAGATCTGTTGCAAGAAACTAGAATATGTCATTTCTCAGTTTGATGATATGAAGCGAACAATTGAGGGGTATCATGCTGCAGCGGTAGACCATATGGCCCTAGATTAGTAAGTAATTTACTCAGTGTTGCTTCATGTTCATGTGGCAACATAAATATCTACTTCAACAACAATGCCTCAATTCCAAGCAAGTTGGGGTCGGCTTATCTGTTAAGGTTTATTTATTTAAAGAGTTGGAATGAGTGCTTCTGTATTACTACTTTTGTGTGAGTAAGATAGCTGATGGATCTCTACTGATTGCTTAAAATCTTGTTGCAGTTGAAAATTTCTTCAAGCTGATGTTACATAGGTCTGTAAAAAACTTAGGCTTTTCTTTATTTGGAAGAGATGATAAGGAATGGATATCCCAAAAAGCAAGAGGTACTTGAAATGTCAGTGAGAAGCTGTTATTTAAAATTTCGTTTAGCTTACCATGGTCTTGATCATTCGGTAAGCAATGATGAGTTTGAAGTACTTGTGCCGAGGGTTTATTAGTTTCAGCATCTCTACCTCCTCAAGGTAGGGGTATGGTTGCGTACATACTACCCTTCTCAGATTACACTGGTTTGGTGTTGTTGTTGTTAACTTGTTATTGGGTTCGTGGATCAAGACTTCTCTTTGAAATCATTCTTATATGTCCCTGTAATGCCGGATCCATATCTTATTCAATCAAAACTAAGTTCAATATGTGCGGTTGAAATGTAGGCATGAAACATTGGTGCTCACTTGTTTTTTGTTTATGTTGCAAAATTGCTCTATTTGGTTGCGCGCGTTATCTACTGTATTTCTTGTTTGAACTTGAAATTATACTTGGTAGGAGCAGTGGCGGAGGCAGGATTTTCGCTAAGGGGTTAAAAAAGGAAAAGGTTAAAAATTCAAAAGGGACTGGCTGATCGGAGCTGAACCAGAGACCTCACAAAGGTTTTGAATCCCTTGACCACTGAGCTATGCTTTTGGACTGTATCAAGGGGATTCAAAATATATATATATATATATATATATATATATAGAGGCACAAAATAGATTTTACGTAATATGGTGTATAATTTTCCGGTGAACCGCCTTCCGCCCCCTAAATTCGCCCCTGGGTAGGAGATTGGTTATTGGTTATGACTGAAAAGCTGTGAAACTAAAAGAGCATAGGATGAATATAATGAGTTGGCAAATACATTTGACTTTGGATCTCAGTATTAATTAAAGTTTACTTTCTGTAAAGTGTGTTGTTCTGGGCAGAAAAAATGACCATCCTAATGCGTAGGGGTTGGGCTATTTTGGTCCTTGATGTATACCCTTACCAGAATGTATACAAAAAGTGGACACTTTTGGTCCTAAAGCCTAAAACTAAGAGTTAATACCCTAAAATTCCCCTAAACTATCATATTCTTTTCAGTTCCTACTTAAACTATTCGGTGTCCCCAAAATTCTCCTGAACTATTGTCCTTCATATTAAAAATCCCTCATTGCATTCTTGGTGGTATGTGTAGTACACGCTCCTAATTATTTACATGTTATGTAGCACTACACGTGGATATTCAACTCAGCCTAAAACTCGCCTAAACTATCACTTTTTTGTCAGTTACCTACTTAAACTATCTGGTGTCCCCAAAACCTCCCTGAACTATATTCCCCTATATATTAAAACCTCATGCTGAACTTTTAAAGGTGTGTTTTTTATATAGTTTACTCATGATGTATTGCTCTCGGATGATTGATTAATTTTAGGAGTTTTGGTCAAAATAATATTTATCGCATTGTGTTAATTTTAGGCTTAATTGTGATTGTGCTTTATGCTAAACTCCAATTGAATAAGTCCTTATTTATATTTACTTTGTAGCACAGTAAAAATATAAATAAAAGGCATATAGTGTTGCATTTCTTAAAACATCATCTTATATTACATAAAAAAATTTATACAAAATAAAATTTCGCGAATAAAAAATCAATTGGCCAACAATTATATTTTCTAATTCCAGATTACATAAAGAAGGTTGAAGAAATTCAACTTTATTCTCTACATGGTGTTGAGTTTAATAAGAAGATTTAAATTGGTATTCTTTCAACAATATGTGTAAGACATGAAAGAAGACTAAAACAAGAAAGAGAATAAATCAAGAGAGGGAAAAGTTTTCCAGAGGAAACCCATATAGAGAACTGAAGAAAAAAGGTTAGAAAATGAAGAAGAAGGTGGAAAATAAAGAAGAAAGGTTTAAAAAATAGGAAGAATGGTGAAAAAATGAGGAAGAAAGGTGGATGTAACTGAAATAAGGAGAATATTTATTAAAAAAATATATGGGAAAGAGGGTTAGACTAATTAGCCATTATTTTCTGTCATATGAGCCATTTTGATGGTATTTTTCAACTGCCACGCGCTCCCTAGCGAGTGTTTACACACGCTATGCAAGGTCAGCGACGAAGGGGTTTTAATATGAAAGACAATATAGTTCAGGGGGATTTTGGAAACACCGAATAGTTTAAGTAGGAAACTGACAAAAATATTATAGTTTAAAGGGGTTTTAGGGTATTAACTCTAAAACTAATGATAAATGTTAAAAAGGTAACAACAAGAAAAAAATATTATTTCCAATTTAACGAATAATAAAATTAAGCAAATTTGATAATCTGATTTCCATTTTAATTTTTTTCCCACTTCAAGCATTCGATGTTTGAAATTTACTAGCTCGATGCCATAGAAAGCTCATTATGAGAGATTTTAACATTTCCAATAGAAGAGAACTTTATAATCAGAACTCAACCCAAAGAACTCTAATTAATAATAATGGACCGTTCGACGTTATTGAGAAGGCAGAGAGATTATTGAGATTAATCTTTATATAACTAAATTTTCTAACTCATCTTTAAGACTGATTCCTCAAACTTTCTCAAAATCAGCCACGTAACCAGCACGTCAAGATGACTTTTTGTGAAGTGATGTCACTTCTATCTAATATGTAAAATTCCACATAGTATTAATAATACTTAATAGTAATATTTTTCAACGAATCGGTATCACGTGACACCAGCTTTCGATCAATGTGCGTCTGCCCGTGAGGGACGATCTCTCTTTTGGTCTAGTCTTAAAAGGGAATATATTTGCTATCCATTTGGAGGGATTTAAGTGTCACTCTCTTTATTATTCATAGTCATTATTTGATAATGACATATATTAACATAAACAATTGAAACATAATCCATTTAAGAAATGACAGCTAAAACTTATTACAGTTTCTTAGAAATTGTAATCAATTGGTAAATGTGCAGGGATCCTTTAGTAATTATAAACGAGTATTAACTTTTCTGAAATAGCATGTAACATTCAGAATATTGAGTTGTCAATTATATCAACCAACGTAAAGTTGAATATGAACTGCTTTTACTTGTTTTTAACGCAAAGTCTAAACCGTAATTTCTTCTTAATTTTTGCTCAATACAACACAATTTACCTGTTCTTGCTTCTATGTTAGAAAGCATCCTTTAATTTCCTTTTAATAACAGAAATAACCTCTATATTAAATGGTAATATTAACGAGCAGATATATTCAGGGAAGGAGCTAGTGTATCATCTACGAGTTTGAACTCACTAGCTTTTGCTTATATTATGTATTTTTATTAAAAAATTAATTAAATATATATAAATATTTAATTAAAAACCCTCGAGTTATACGTTCGATAATTAAGTTAAAACATATAAACTTCAAATTCTGGCCCCGCTTGTGAATATATTATTTGTCTTAATCACAAAGTTGTTGTTGAGCTAGAACAATCAATTTTAGATCAATTAGGTGATCTTTTGTTTAACTTCAAAAATACTTCAATTTATTATTCATCATTTTTTTCCAATCGTAGGTCACGTGACCGACCTAACCCCTTTGTACTTTTGTTGAAGTTTCCATTTTCCACATGACATGAAAAACCAAAGTCATTGTAATTTTTCGTTATTTCTAGATTTCCCCCCAAAAGATTTACTTCTTTTACTTCTGTCTCCTGACGACTTTTAACTACTGATAATTTTGAGTCATTTCTGGACTGCACTCTACACCCTTTGACTGTTCTTGAACATTTTGATAAATCTGAGCCTCCAAAATTCGATTTTTCTTTTTACCCATTAAAAAAATCGAATCTTCCTTAGTGGGTTTTAATTTCAAATTGTTTTGATCAATTTTTGATCCCATTATTTGCTTTTGGAATTGGTCAAAATTCAACACCCTTGTAGTTTTATGTTCTTATTTTGAAGGGTTTTGGTTATTTTGACCTGAAATTGGTGAAGTTCAGTTTATAATCCAACTTTGAAGACCATATTGTAGGTTCTTGATCCTCCTTTTGATCTGTAAGCTACTGTTTTTATGTCAGTTTTTTGTAATTAACTGTTAGATTTAACAAGTTGGATTCATTTCTTGTTTTTGATAGAGTTGTTGTGTTATAGAAATAGTGCTGTTATAGTAATTTAGTTATGGCTTCATGCAAAAAAGCAAGAATAAAAGATGCTGCTTTTAGGCGTTTAGTATCTTTAGCACTGATAACTGTTTTTGGAGTAGTTTTGCTGTTAATTCTTCTTAGGACCAATACAGTTTCTAATTTGATTAACAGTTATACTAATGAGAGTAGTGAAAGTTTTGAAAGTATTGAAGAAGTTAAGGATGCTAATACACATCTAACTAGGATTCCGAAACTCCCATTGCAAAATGAGTTGTCAATTCTTTTGAGCAAGAGAAATCAGATGCCCCCAAGGAACTTGGATTTGTATCCAAAATTAGCTAAGGATCATGTTGTTGTTGTTTTGTATGTTCATAACCGACCCCAGTATCTTCAAATCGTGATCGACAGCCTTTCTCGCGTAGAAGGAATCAGTGAAACTTTGCTTATTGTTAGTCATGATGGATACTTTGAAGAGATGAACAAGATTGTGGAAGGCATTAAGTTTTGCCAAGTGAAACAGATATTTGCGCCCTACTCGCCACACATCTTTTCCGAGAGCTTTCCAGGTGTATCTCCTAAAGATTGCAAAGAAAAAGATGATCCAGTTGAGAAACATTGTGAGGGAACGCCTGATCAGTATGGGAACCACCGGTCGCCAAAAATTGTCTCGTTGAAGCATCATTGGTGGTGGATGATGAATACTGTCTGGGATGGACTAGAGGAGACTCGTCATCACTCAGGTCATATTCTCTTCATAGAAGAAGATCATTTCATTTATCCCAATGCATATCGCAATATGCAGTTACTTGCAGAATTGAAGTCAAAAAAGTGCCCCGACTGTTATGCTGCCAATCTTGCGCCATCTGAAGTGAAGTCGAGGGGAGAAGGATGGGAATGTTTGGTAGCTGAAAGGATGGGGAATGTGGGTTATGCATTTAACCGGACAGTGTGGAGGAAAATTCATAAAAAGGCGGCAGAGTTTTGCTCGTTTGATGATTACAATTGGGATATAACAATGTGGTCGACAGTTTATCCTTCGTTTGGTTCTCCAGTTTACACGCTACGAGGGTCTAGGACCAGTGCGGTTCATTTCGGGAAATGTGGTTTGCATCAAGGTCATAATCGTAATGTAGCTTGTATGGACAATGGTGGTGTGAATATTGTTGTTGATGAAATTGATAAAGTTGCAAATATCAAACCAGAGTGGGAAGTTCGTAAATATGAGCACCAAGCAGGATATAAGGCTGGTTTCAAGGGCTGGGGAGGCTGGGGAGATGTACGGGATCGCGAATTGTGTATGGAATTTGCAAAAATGTATATCTAAGGGTGTTCATCTGCTTTCTGAAGAGTGGCACTCAGAGCTTCACGATCATACTACTTTTGAGGTTTGGATCTTTGGGTTTCCCACGGAAATCATTCTTAGTGTAACACGTGTGTAAAATTTTAGGAATTACTTAAATTATGTTTCACATTCACAGGTTAGCTTTTCTTGAATGCACGCAAAATTTTGTTCTATATTGTTCTGTGTTAAAGTTTGCACCTTTGCTGAAGAGAAGTTTTTTTCCCTTTAAGGTTCTTTAGTTTAGGTCGGCAGGTAGTGCTAGTCTGCTAGAACCTATGTTGCGGACTCTCTAAAATGTAGCCGCACCCGTGTCGGATCCTTCAAAAATGCACTACTTTTTGAGGATCCGACACGTATCTGGCCACATTTTCGGAGAGTCCGAGCAACATAGGCTAGAACACACACACGCAAATATTGTGTACGTACTAAAGAGCAGAGATCCTTGTTGCAGAAATTAAAAGAGATTTTCATATAGGACCAAGCATTACAGGGTTCTTTAGGTGATTTACTGTTCTGATAAGCATCTAAACTAAATTCTGTTCACAAAGCTAACTGTGCCTTTTCTTTCCATATATGTTAGCTAAGGTTGTCTTAGTGCTATCAAAACATCTCATTGAACAATAAACACCATCCTCTTGAAATTTGGATATATTTTTTTCTATAGAAGTTCGACAGAATCTCATGTTGACCATTGCATTGTCATCCATTAGGTTGATACCGCTCTGTTTCCCTTCTTCGTAATCTGTTCATGTATTTACCTAGGTCTTTGATGGTGACCTTTATATTCTGCTATTTGTAGTAAGTTCCTCAACTACAATGAGCAAATAGTATCACCAATATTTTTGAATTGATTCTACAATAAAAATGGCAGCAAATTGTGAGGATACAACTGGATCTTTTAAGCATCGGGTAAAGTGCGTCAGGTTGCGGTCATTTTTCCCCATCAGAAATTGCAAGTAGTTCTCTAAATCAGATTTGGCTAATATATTAGGTTTGTGAAGGAAGAAAATTTAAAATGAGCTAATTCTCACCTTGTTTCTTGTTATACATTCTTAAATGCTTAGTTTTGTTCAATTAAACAGCTTCCTATAATGACTGCTTAACTCTTTAGGATTGATGCAACAACACTGATTGATTCTTTCTTCTTATGAGAACAAAAGAAACATCTAGAATATGGCCTTCTGGTGTAACAACCTTGGGAATCAAGGTTCAAATCCTAGTAGAGACGACACTAGGTGAATTCTTCCCATCTGCCTATATATTAGTAATTGCCTAGTACTTGTGCTGGTGGAAGGTAACAGGTATCCTGTGGATTAGTTGAGGTGCGGCAAATTGATCCTGAAACCACCCTTATATAAAAGGTCACTAGAATATGAACTTGTGCCTGGAAAATGTAACAGAAGTGCATGACTTTATGCATGTCACGAAATTGAGAAGGATTTTAACATCTAAGAAGGGGATGAGTAGAGTTAAATCATGGTGTATCGCCAAGAACTAAAGCAGTCATGAAATCACTCTTTGCTGTAGTGGTAATCCAACCGGACAGTGAATATTGAATTTCAGTGCCTATCTGCTAAAATACCTCCTTTTCTGTTTATTTCCACTTCTCGATAAGAAATTCGTGATCTGCTGATATTCAATCTCTTTTCCAGCTGTGGCATCTCTGTAAATTCTGTTCATTTGCGTTAGAGCAGATCAACCTTGAATGTTCCTTCTGCGCATTCAGTTGTTGTCTTCGTGAATCTCTGACTTTGGGAATGTCTTGCATGTTACAGTCATCGATTTCTCTCTCGTATCAACTGAAATGAGAGACACATTCACTTGAAGGTTTTCGTCTTTCTTAGTTTCTTTCACTCTAATGCCAGTTGAGCCAACTGTTTCTTTAAGCTGACAGTTTGTTTATTACGGCAGCTTTTGGTTTTCATTGCGAAAGGGGTCCGAATGTTCTGTTGTTTGTGAATTTATTTCCATGTATGGCTTCTCAAAAGCAGCAGGACATAGTGTGGTTGCATGCAAACATTTCCAGTATGTATATGAGCTCATATCTGGGAGGCTGTGCTAAGACAACCACATTTGTTGTTGATGCATTCTTGTTAGGGATGCTTGGATTGATGGTTGGAGTTTCATTGTTTGGTAGTAGAGTCTGTTTTTGTTTTGTTTATTGCAAAAGGATGGAGCTGTTTTTAATCCAAAAGGCATGACTTTCCATTGAAAATGGTGATCGGGTATGCGTTTTTTCGTTGTTCTTTTATGTTTTTGTTTGTTGAGGAGAGATGGTGATTTCGGCCTTTTCTTTGTTTAGAGGAACCAAGTTGTACTATTTCTAGTCTCTGCTCTCCTACTTGGTTTCCCACTTTCCCTATGTAAATCAAACAACCCCAAGAATAATAAGCACCCTGTGTAATAGTTTCCTACTATCATGATAAGAATAGATTGGCGCTAAGGGTGTCAAATGGGCAGGTTGGGCCAATTTTGGACGGGTCAAAGAATAGGTTGGCGCTGGGGTGTCAAATGGGCGGGTTGGACTGATTTGGGGGGCGGGTCAAAAGTTACTTGAGCTGAAATGGGCTAAATTTTGGGTCTTGTCCAACACGCCCAACTTTTATCAAGCTTTAACTAATGTGTAGTATTTTCTTATGAATTGTTTAGTTAACAAATAAAACTATTTTTTTTCTTTTGTTATGTCATATACAACATATCAAACAAAAAAATAATTATTTTAAAGAAATTTTAGCAAAGTTACTCATGGATCAATTTGGGCTAAAATTTAGCTCAATTTTAAAGGGTGAATGACACGGTTATCCACAAAAATAAAACTATTTACCTACCCATTTGTTTTTGAGAAATTTTAGAAACTACTATGTTTTAGTGATTATTAGCTTGCTATAGCTATCATTTACTAAATTACTTCCTATAGTTATGTTTTCAGTTGTTATAGACTGTATTCGATATATTTTTGCTATTGTATTCATGAATACAAATAGCAAAACTCGGCAGAAAACAGGGGAGTCCTGCGAAGCAGAGAATGTATTCGACTGTATTCGCGAGCTGTATTCGTGAATACAGTAACGGAATTTGCGGCAAAAAAAAAAGGTATTCAGCTGTTTAAAAACGGTAAGTGAATCAATTAACGCGATAAACTCCTAATATAACTCAACAAACTCAATTATAACACACAAAATTTAAATTTCCAGTTATAGAAAAGATTCTCAACCGAAAAACACCCAAAAATAGAGCATTCTTCAAAGATTCAATCCATCCTTTCTTTTTTAAGTGGTATCTTTACTAAAATATTTTAGTGGTATCTTTATAAATAGATTTATATATTGAAATTATATAATTACATTGAATACAGTTAAATACATAAAAGTACATTGAATACATGAAGTGTAGCAGGTCATCTATAGTGCAAAAATATATGAATACATACTGCAGATACATTTGAATACATATATACATCTGAATACATAAATTATATTAATTAAAAAAAACATATGAATACATTCATGGAATACAGCTAGACAGTGAATACAATGAAATACATGAAATACAGCGAGATACATTGAAATACAATGAAAAAAGACAGTGAATACAATGAAATACATGGAATACAGCGAGATACATTGAAATACAATGAAAAAAACGGTAACAGACTCTTCGGCAAAGCAACTACTTTTTTTTTTCTTTTGCCGTTTTATTTCGCATTCCTTTACCTTGTCGAAATCTTCTTCTTATAATCTCGTAGAATGAATTTGAATTAGTTGAACCGTGAATTTTGAATAACGAGTAGTTAAGCAAAAAAATCACTTTTCTACTTTCTATTCAAAATGGCGTGAAAGATGTTGGATCTTAGAGTTTTTCAACTATTTTAGATCGTCACGTTTGGAAACCAAAAGGTTTTCTAATGTAATCATCACTTCAGAAAAAGAAGAAGTTATCGCCGCCGGAGGAGGGGGTTAGGGGTGACACAACAAGGAAGGGGGGAAGTGGTCGTCGGCCGGATCTGTCATTGGCGGAACACAGCCCCTGCTAGGGTTTCTAAAAGCAGGGGAGGAAAAAACCGGGGAAAAAAGAGAAGAAAGAGGAAAGAGAAAGGAGGAGAGAGGGAAGAGAGAGGGAGAGAGAAAAATAATACACAGCGTATTTAATGGCTTAAAGGTAGCAAGTGACCATAAATAGATATTTTGCTATAAAAATTAAAAGGTAGCTATAAGAGATAATTTTTTAAAAGGCTATTTATTTATAACAAATAAGGTATCAACCTTTGCTATAGGAGGTAAAATTTCCTTTATTTTTCTACCCATCAAACTAATTACATTTTCTACCCATAGTAGTTTTTGTGGGGAATTTTCTCTTTTTTCTCCAATTCTTTTTTATTTCTATGCTTCTTTTCTTTTTTTCCTTTTTTCTTTCTTTTCTCCTTTTCTTTTTTCTCGTTTTCTATTCATTCATTTTTGCCCAAATCGTATTATTGTTATTTTTACCATAACTTATTTCACACTTAATTTTTGACTCCTTCTTTATTTTTTTCTTTTTATTTTTTTTCTTATTTCTTGTTCCTTTTCTAATTCCATTTAACTCCTTTTTTTATTTTCTTTATTTCTTGTTCCTTTTCTAACTTCATTTAACTTCTTTTTTTTACATTCTTTTTCTCTTCATAACCTAATTTCATTTACTGTTTTTACTATTTTCTATTATTCTTGTTTTTATACAATAAGAAAAAATAACTGATATAGTAAATATTTGGTCACCTTTTTTTTAATTTAATATAACTAGTATAATATACCTTTGTCTATTTTCTTATTTTTTTAATTCAATTATTAAACTGAAATAATATAAGTTGTCACTTGATCTAATTCACTGAATATCACATCGACTGCTGCTAAGCACCATATATTACATAATCAAATTCTAAGAATCAACACGTGATTGCCATGCAAACCTTGATCTCCTTCCCTACAATTTTCAGTACACACTCTACCATTAGCAGTAACACAACCAGTTATGGAGCAAGAAAACATAACTACGGCCACCAAATCTCCATATATACTAGTTAGAATAGAAATGATAATAAAATATTGGAAAATGCAATAAAAGTATAAGTAGCAAAAAAGACTTGTAGTACCATATGATACCAATATGGTATACATGTATACCAACAAAGTATATGCTTGCTCTAGAATATTGCTACAAC